CAGCTTTGTACGGCAGCTTTGAAGAACCGCAGCTTTGGGGAGTAGCGTTCGGAACCAATTTTAGCACATAATTTTGAGGAGTACTTTTTGGTAATAACTTTGAAGAATACCTTTCGAGAAATAATTTGGTAACTAATTCTGGGAAATAAATTTGAAATATAATTACTTTGGGGTAACCGTTTTACAGCTTTGGGGAACTATCTTGGGAAATACTTTTGGGAAGTAACTTTGGGGCTTTGGGAAATTATTTTGACGAGCAATAATTTTGGTAAATTTTCCGGAAAATTTTTTCGGTTTTATTAATTTCAAGATACATTTTAGGGAATAATTTTTAATAATAATTTAGGGTAGCAGTTTTCGGGCCACTTTGCAGAATAATTTTGGGGAATTATAATTTGAATAGTATTTTTAGGAAGCAGCTTTCGGTAGCAATTTTGGGACGCAATTTTTGGTCGTTTTGCAAAATGATTTTGGAGAACCATTTTGGCGAACAGGTTTGTGGAATCGTAGCTTTGAGGTAATAGTTTTGGGATATATCTTTGGGGTATAGCTTCGGGGAAAAATGCCGATTAATTTTAGGAAAGATTTTTGAAAGATTTGGAATAATTTCGGGAAATATTAAAAAATAATTTTACCAGTAGTACCCGCACGAGGCGGGGCGGAAGTTGCCTTAAAGATATATATATATATAAGACCTTTCTCATCTATAGAACATGCACGCGCCGTGCGCCAGCCAAGCCCGTTCGTGCGTGCATTCTGCGAATGTGATGTCCTGTTGTACATGTCACATTTGAAGCTCCACTTCGTACTTCACACTTCTCACTGCACTCTTCACACTCCACACTTCACGCTTCACACTCCACACTTCACACTTCGCACTACACTCTTCGCACTCCACACTTCACACTTCACACTTCACAGTCCACACTTCACACTTCTCACTTCACACTTCACACTTCACAGTCCACACTTCACACTCCACACTTCACACTGCATTCTTCACGCCCCACACTTCACACTGCACACTTCATCTCATCTGAGCTCTTCTCACCTTATCCCAGCTCATCTCTTCTCATATGTCATCTAAGCTTTCATGAATCACTTCCCAGTACTTTTCCTAAGGAACTGGATCTCGACGCCAAAGCGACAAAAACACGATTTTGAAGCACTTTTTAAAAGGAATTTTAAAAGGAAAATTATTAGCGCCAAAATTGAGAAAATCTGCTGACAAATCACTTTCGCAGCCTTGATGCAGCCGTTCCAATACGATTTACGATCTTCAGCTGCAAAACACAATAATATTACGCATGCAGCCGGTGCACCCATCCTGTTCTGATTCGTATTCCCCAATTTCTTCACAAACTTTGAATTCCTTATGTGTCCTTTTTTTACCATACCTTTTTTTGCTTGGCATCACACAGAAACTGTTTTAGTTTTGCATCAAACACCATTGAAGCTACATGTCTTTACTTCAGAAGTAAGCAGAACTCAGCACCCAGCACGATGCAGATCATGGCCCTTTTTCATCTCACTCTGAATCCTTGGCAACAATCATGCCTTGATCACACGGCCCGCACTGGCACGCGCGCCATGGCAGTGAGTGTCCTGCACACGCAAGCATCAGCGATGCAACAACAGATCGTCTTTATCCAGACAACGTACCTTAAAAATAAGTCTGGAGTTACCTTCGGCCAGTGCCAAACCATCCTTCGTGACAATACGAGCAGTCTTGAAATTCAAGCTCGTTTAAAAAAGTATCGACTTCATTGACACGATGGAAAAAAGCCATGGTGCGGCTTTCGGCATCTGCGGAATTTCCGTATAGTTGTCGCAAACTCTTCGGCAACCTGGGCCGTGGCAAGTCATCTCCCAAGACTGTCTCCCGGCTATGCAACTTTGCTTCATGCGATTTCTTCAGCGGCACAGTGGCTGCTGCTGGCAACAGCTGTCCTAGGGCATTTCTCACCATCTCTTTCTTGTCCTCTGTCAGACTCGGAAACGTGCGTTGCATGAAATCATAACAGCAACGAAGTTCGGCATCTTGCTTCTTGGCGTGCACATTAAACAAAGACTTAACACTTGCTGCGCCACAGGATTGCAATTCTACTTTTCTTCGATCCAGGATCTGCATGAACTTGTCTACCGAATCAACTGCTGGAACACACAACAATGTTTCCCATTCCTGCAACGTCGCCTTCATATCTTCATCAAGCTTTTCATAGCTCCGTCGCCAAAAATTTCTGCCAAATACATATTCTGGCTTACCTGTACGCTCAGCTGCACACATGAATTGAAGCAGCGTAGACTTTTGCATCCCTTGCAACTCTTCTCTGTTATCTTCAAGAATGTTGACGAAACGATCGAACTCGGGCTGCGCAGATGCATGCTTCACACATACCCGCCGTTCCAAATCCTTCCAGTTTTCCTTTTCTTCTTCATTCAAACTCTCATATATGTAGTTCTTCACAAAACGATAACAAATGCCTCCCCAAGTTCTGCTCTGTGAAACAGTCCCACTCATGCAGACATCACGCAATGTACCTTTTCCCAAAGCCTTCATCTCCTCTAAGTGCGCTTCTACAGCAGCACAAAACTTCCGAAAGGCTGCTCGCACATCTGACACGCAGTTTTGTTTTTCCCATTCTTGTATCACCTGAGTCTGTTCGACCGAAAAGGTTTTCTCAAGAGCAAGATACGTCTTGCAATACTTCCAACATTTTCCGGTGCTTAGACAAGCTTTCAACGTCTTACATTCCAGCACCTTCAAAGTCGCCGCTTCCTTTTCGATGTATGATCACAGATCAGCAAAGGTCCCCGATTGCGCCATGGCTCCACCGCGTCTTAGGAAACGGGCCGCACTGCCACGTCTCCTTGCGCACTGCGACGTCCGAAATTATGAGCATGGCTGTCTCATCATGCATACCTTTCTCATCCACTAACCGCTCCAAAACATGAGAAAATCTTCGTGACTAACCATGAGACCTGAATACATGACACCTCTGACAAATGCACGTTCCCAATTCTTTCTTGCTACACACGTCTGCCTCCTGGAAAATACAAACAGCTGCGGCCAGAACACATCGCCACCGTCATTTCTGGTCAAGACTTCTATAGCTTGTTCCTGGACATCAATGTCACAATATTTACCTACATCAATATCGCACACAAAACTCGAAATAGCAACCTACATCCACGAACTAGCTGACAAACTACTTCCCAGTACTACTTCCCAGTATATACTACTTGGTACTACACAGCTTGCACCCGATACTACTTTGCACTACAAAGCTTGCAAAAATTACTTCCCAGTACTACTTTGTACCACAAAACTTGCACAAAGTACTCCCCAGTATTACTTTGTACTACAAAGCTTGCACAAAGTCCTTCCCAGTATACTACAATTTGCAGCTTCAAAACCGGATCTCGACGCCAAAGCGACAAAAAGACGATTTTGAAGCACCTTTTAAAAGGAATTTTAAAAGGAAAATTATTAGCGCCAAAATTGGGAAAATCTGCTGACAAATCACTTTCGCAGCCTTGATGCAGCCATTCCAATACGATTTACGATCTTCAGCTGCAAAAGACAATAGTATTACGCATGCAGCCGCTGCACCAAGCAACCTTGACGCAGCCACTACAATGCGATCTGCAGAGACTGAGTTGCAAAGCACAATAGAACTACGTGCAATGGCGTCGGAAATTGCAGTTCCAAAACCGGATCTCGACACCAAAGCGAAAAAAAGACGATTTTGAAGCACTTTTTCAAAGGAACTTTAAAAGGAAAATTACTAGCGCTCAAATTGCGACAATCTTCTGACAAATTACTGTCGCAGCCTGGATGCAGCCACTCCAATACGATTTACAATCTTCAGCTGCAAAAGACAATAGTATTACGCATGCAGCCGCTGCACCAAGCAACCTTGACGCAGCCACTACAATGCGATCTGCAGAGACTGAGTTGCAAAGCACAATAGAACTATGTCGGAAATTGCAGCTCCAAGACCGGATCTCGACGCCAAAGCGAAAAAAAGACGATTTTGAAGCACTTTTTCAAAGGAGATTTAAAAGGAAAATTACTAGCGCCAAAATTGCGACAATCTTCTGACAAATCACTGTCGCAGCCTGGATGCAGCCACTCCAATACGATTTACAATCTTCAGCTGCAAAAGACGATAGTATTACGCATGCAGCCGCGGCACCAAGCAACCTTGACGCAGCCATTACCATGCGTTTCGCAGCATCACGTCGCAAACCTGCACGTATCTACACACATAACAACACCAGAACACCAAATGACAACAATCATGCAGCCATTCCAATGCGATCTGCCACCGGAGATTCCAAAACACCCTATAACTATGCACACACACAAGCACACCGAAAGCAGCTTCAAGCCACCGTTACACTGCGGCAAAAAAAAACCGACAAACCGACCGCAGCCGCACCCGTCGCACACACGAGGTACCTTTCATCGTCCCCTGCAGCCACTTTACACGGAAAAACACAAGGTTTCGTGCTCCGGCTTCCTCCCCAAGACATAGCCCATGCAACATCATGCAGCCATTACAATGCGGTTCGCAATATCAACTCGCAAACTTGCACCTATCCACGCACAGAACAACACCAGAACACCAAATGACAACAGTCATGCAGCCATTCCAATGCGATCTGCAAGCACAGATTCCAAAACACCCTATAACTACGCACACACAAGCACACCCAAAGCAGCTTCAAGCCACCGTTACACTGCGGCAAAAAAAAGCGACAAACCGACCGCAGCCGCAACCGCCGCACAGACGAGGTACCTTTCATCGCCGGCTGCAGCCACTTTACACGGAAAAACGCAAGGTTTCGTGCTCCGGCTTCCTCCCCAAAACATAGACCATGCAACATCATGCAGCCATTCCAATGCGATCTGCAACCGGAGATTCCAAAACACCCTATAACTACGCACACACAAGCACACCCAAAGCAGCTTCAAGCCACCGTTACACTGCGGCAAAAAAAAACGACAAACCGGCCGCACCCGTCGCACACACGAGGTACCTTTCATCGTCGCCCGCAGCCACTTTACACGGAAAAACGCAAGGTTTCGTGCTCCGGCTTCCTCCCCAAGACATAGCTCATGCAACATCATGCAGCCATTACAATGCGGTTCGCAGCATCAACTCGCAAACTTGCACCTATCTACGCACAGAACAACACCAGAACACCAAATGACAACAGTCATGCAGCCATTCCAATGCGATCTGCCACCGGAGATTCCAAAACACCCTATAACTACGCACACACAAGCACACCCAAAGCAGCTTCAAGCCACCGTTACACTGCGGCAAAAAAAAAACGACAAACCGACCGCAGCCGCACCCGTCGCACACACGAGGTACCTTTCATCGTCGCCCGCAGCCACTTTACACGGAAAAACACAAGGTTTCGTGCTCCGGCTTCCTCCCCAAGACATAGCCCATGCAACATCATGCAGCCATTACAATGCGGTTCGCAGCATCAACTCGCAAACTTGCACCTATCTACGCACAGAACAACACCAGAACACCAAATGACAACAGTCATGCAGCCATTCCAATGCGATCTGCAAGCACAGATTCCAAAACACCCTATAACTACGCACACACAAGCACACCCAAAGCAGCTTCAAGCCACCGTTACACTGCGGCAAAAAAAAACGACAAACCGACCGCAGCCGCACCCGTCACACACACGAGGTACCTTTCATCGTCGCCCGCAGCCACTTTACACGGAAAAACACAAGGTTTCGTGCTCCGGCTTCCTCCCCAAGACATAGCCCATGCAACATCATGCAGCCATTACAATGCGGTTCGCAGCATCAACTCGCAAACTTGCACCTATCTACGCACAAAACAACACCAGAACACCAAATGACAACAGTCATGCAGCCATTCCAATACGATCTGCAAGCACAGATTCCAAAACACCCTATAACTACACACACACAAGTACACCGAAAGCAGCTTCAAACCATCGTTACACTGCGGCAAAAAAAAAATGACAAACCGACCGCAGCCGCACCCGTCGCACACACGAGGTACCTTTCATCGTCGCCTGCAGCCACTTTACACGGAAAAACACAAGGTTTCGTGCTCCGGCTTCCTCCCCAAAACATAGCCCATGCAACATCATGTAGCCATTACAATGCGGTTCGCAGCATCAACTCGCAAACTTGCACCTATCTACGCACAGAACAACACCAGAACACCAAATGACAACAGTCATGCAGCCATTCCAATGACCGGAGATTCCAAAACACCCTATAACTACGCACACACAAGCACACCCAAAGCAGCTTCAAGCCACCGTTACACTGCGGCAAAAAAAACCAACAAACCGACCGCAGCCGCACCCGTCGCACACACGAGGTACCTTTCATCGTCGCCTGCAGCACTTTACACGGAAAAACACATGGTTTCGTGCTCCGGCTTCCTCCCCAAAACATAGCCCATGCAATATCATGCAGCCATTCCAATGCGATCTGCCACCACAGCTTCAAGAAACGAATAGAACTACGCACGCAGGAACAACCACTCGTTGCAAAACACATAGGAGGAACAATTCGCGCACTTCCCTTCCTCGCCACTTCCCATCGTCACCACCTCCCATCGTCACCACCTCCCTTCGTCACCACCCTGTGTCATACCTTCTTATTCTATGTGATGTACCACCCTTCATCAAGGTCAATCCTTTTGTGATCTATTGTTATGTAATGTAATGTTTCACATCACCCTTTATCAAGGTCAAGGCTTTTGTGGTGTATTGTTATGTAATGTAATGTCTCACACCACCCTTCATCAAGGTCAATCCTTTTGTGATGTATTGTTATGTAATGTAATGTCTCACATCACCCTTCATCAAGGTTAATTCTTTTCTGATGTATTGTTATGTAATGTAAGGTCTCATACCACCCTTCATCAAGGTCAATTCTTTTCTGATGTATTGTTATGTAATGTAAGGTCTCAGACCACCCTTCATCAAGGTCAATTCTTTTCTGATGTATTGTTATGTAATGTAAAGTATCACACCACCCTTCATCAAGGTCAAGGCTTTTGTGGTGTATTAGTATGTAATGTAATGTCTCACACCACCCTTCATCAAGATCAATCCTTTTGTGATATATTGTTATGTAATGTAATGTCTCACACCACCCTTCATCAAGGTCAATTCTTTTCTGATGTATTGTTATGTAATGTAATGTCTCACACCAACCTTTATTAAGGTCAATTCTTTTCTGATATATTATACGACTGAGATTTGACCTTAATGAAGGGTGGTGTGAAATTTTACATTAGATAATAATATATCATAAAAGAATTGACCTTAATGAAGGGTGGTATGGGACTTTACATTACAGAATAATATATCAGGAAAAAAATAACATTGATAAAGGATGGTATGAGACATTATATTACATAACAATATATCACAAAAGGATTCACCTTGATAAAGGGTGATAAGAAACATTAGATTATATATTAATATATCAAAAAA